TTCTCCAAGCATACACTTAGATGAATAAACTCTCAGGTGAATACAGAACTGGAGCTGAATAGCAGGTGGTTTAGTTGAAACACTATCAATGGAGGTAAGTAGATGTGGTGGAAGAGTCTTGAGGGGAAAATCTCCCTTAATCTTTTCTGCATGTCCACAAATTATTTATGCTTCCTCCACCCTATTTGCCTTCTGCCGATTCTCATCTTTCACTCAGCATTGTTTAAAAATCTAGCATAATATAATCTGTCTCACTGTCATCTTGATCTTCTTTGTCTATTTTTTCCACAGGTTCCCTCCATTACCCGGTCCGTGGGCCATGACAGGATCTTGGCTCTCCGCCAGCAAACTCAGTTCCTCTGGGATGCCTACTTCTCCTCCATAGCCAAAATAGTCTTAACAACTCTTGAGGTAAGCTTGCAAAACATTGTCTTAATGGGAGTTGTGGATTTATTTTCATCAGGAGAGTTGCATTTAGTCAGTCAAACTGCTATAGCTTGTTCTGTACTATACATTGCCGCTGGCTATGCATCACCTCCCAAAGACAAACTTTTGAAAGATTTCTTTCTCCGGTTGTCAGTATTTTTTTTTTTTATCCAAAGAAGGTTAGCTGAATGTGCCCTCTCTTTTGCAGTACTTTTTCTGCTCCATATTCATACATTTCCACTCAGAAGCAGCTCGGCAATGCAGTGTTCAAACACTCAGTGAAGGTATATCAAAGTTACCGGGGGTGATTTGGCATGCTCAAACTTTGTTTTGAGATCAGGGTTACAGTTTGACTTTTTGTTGTTGTTTTTCTTCATAAAACTGTGTTTTTACGCAATAAACCCTTAGCATCATGTGAGAAAGCCGCTGATACACCATTGGCATATAACATTTTTATATAGAACTTATCCTTTTTTCAACTCTCAAAGCTACTGCCCCTCTTACCTTTGATTTGGCACCAGCTAGCACTTAATGTTCATTGTTTTCACTGTCATCAGACTTGTGACAGTTATATTTAGCAGGAGTCCTTCTGTATCTAATGGTAGTCTAGATTGTGTGTGATTTATCAGTTCTAATCAGTGACAAACAGAAAAGAAAACCTCTTGCTATGTGTGAAAAGTGCTCATAAAATCTCTGGTGGACTATTCAGCAAAGTTAACCTAGAAAACGTTACATCTAATATGGAGTTCAGGTTTCCTTTTAACCTAACCTGACAATCTTTGCGAAAAGAAAAGAAATATTGAAGATGGAAACCAGCATTTTGTTGCCTGAAATGAAAACATAGGCGTCGTGAAGTGCCAGTTGTGAAGCACCAAGTGTGAAGGAGGACCATGCTGTCTGGCAGCCTACAGGTTTAAGAGGCTGCAGTATGTGAGTGGGCGTTCATGCCCGCTCTCAAGGCTAGAAACCCACAGGCTGGCTCATTAAATGACCTAACCAGCTGATGTACAGAAAATGAACCTGTGTCATTGCCATGTACCACAAAAGCCATCCTAGTCTTCCTTTTTTTTGAAGAAATTCATTTCCTTACAGCCTCGATTCAGACCTCAGGGACCATTTGCGCTTTGTATCATCTCTGAACACAGACACAGGGGATAATAATCCTTTTTATCACCAACATCAGCAGAAGATTCATAGGTATCATTACATAAACATCAGTATGATTGCTATGATCTTTCTAAAGCCCACAGTTTGTTTTAATGTAATTTAATTTAATTTATCACGTCCACCATGAATACTGATATCATAATTATCACAATTATCATCATAGCGATAACATAAATACTATTATTACAATCATTACACCAACAAAGAAACACTAACTTTTTCGACTTAATTTTTTTAATGTGTGTAAAAATATTATTACTAGGTGAGGACTGTGGTTGTTGTGTAGGTCAGTTTGTTGTCTGATTTAATTGCTGAAGTTACACTGAATGCAAGTTTAAAGGTGGAATCTCCATTCTTTTTCACAAAGTAAGTTTGAAGCACAGGTATACAGGTAGATCTTTTTGCACATATTTAGGCTTTATTAAGACTAAGAAAATTGGCTTTATCATTCTTATTGATTTTATATCTTACCTCTTTGAATTTGTACAAATAGAAAGAACGTTTAACAGACTGAAAAGCCATTAATTTTTAATGCTGGCACAGTTATTTTCTGTTATTAGTCATAAAATAATGACACCCTTTTTAATTCTATAGCTCAGTTGCTTGCTTTGATTGCACAAATGAGCAATCAAGGTATCAACTTTCAAAACTTTCAAAATATGAAGTACGCCTAACCATCCCTGAAGGGTTTCAAACAGCTACTATACTTAAAAGTACAACCTTTTTATTTTCCTAATTATTTTCCAACGTTTGCTTTCAGAATTTGCCTCCTGTTATGTGTATAATTGTCTACTTCATATGCATATGTAAAGTAGAAAATGATACAGTGAACTGAAAGTACGGCATATGCAATTGAAATTTGTCTGTTTGAGCCAATTTAATGCTGTGTATATTAAAATGTTTGCATCAATGCCATCTATCAAACACCAGGAATAAGGACCCATCTTTTTGTAAAATTAATGATAATTTCATCACCAAGCCCTACAACTATAATTTATGTTTGCCTTCATGTTTACCTTAATAATACAAAGTATCCTCAAATTGCAGCATTTTTTTTTTGAGCACAAACAAGACCTTGGTAATTCCACCAAATGCCCAGTGCTAGCAGGGTATGAAATTAGACAGGAGACCGCTGACAGCTGTATACTGTTGGCCAGATGTGCTAAAAAGTCAGAGCCAGCATGCCACCAGGCTAAACGGGTGAAATGAAGCGTGGCTGATAACCGTAGTGTCCCACATACTGCGAGCCTGACAGTTGGTGTAAGGAGGTGGGTGTGTAGGCATATATGTGTGTGTGTGTGTGTGTGTGGCTGTTAAGAGCTGGATGTAAGTGTCAATTTCCCACTCCCTGTTTCCTCCACTGTTTTGATCTAAATACAAAGAAATATGATTAAAAAGTTTGTTTGTTTTTTAAATTAAAAATGTGTTTTTTAAGTTTCACAATAAGTCAAAACTACTTAGGTATATCTCTACTTTTGAATGGTTTATAGTCCATTATTAGTCATGCAAAAAATTTAAAATATGCATGTAAAAGTCAAAAATATAGACAGCTCATATGCCATTTATGTCCTAAAACCGAAATGAAATTCAAGGATTTTTATGTCACTATATAATTTGCAAAAATAAATAAATAAAATTTTTAGTGCCAACCAACCAATTGGCTAGAATCAACAGCTCCATTACTCTTGCATTACATCCTGTAGGGTCAGCCCAGGGACACAATCAAACGCCTTCTCCCAGTCAATAGATTAGATGTTATGGGTCTAACATTAGTATTAGCAGTATTGTTAAATGTTTCAAATTTATGGTATGACAAATGATTTTTTTAGTTCCAAGTAAATTAAAACATCACATGTTTAAAAAAGTCTTTCTGGCAGACCTGAGCTGAATTATTTGCCCCAACTAGTGGATACTGAAGAGAAAGTGAAAAAAACAGAGAAGAAGAAAACATAAGTACAGTTGTGGCCTAAAGCTGTCCTCAGAAGGGACGAGTTTTTGCTCAGTCCCCCAAAAGCTTCCTTACTTTCTAGTAAACCAGATTTACACCATCACCCCTCTGCCACAGAGTCAGAAGCCCTCTGATCCTCATCACTGTACAGACTTCAGGTATTTTCAGTGTTTCATACTTTGCACTGCTGCACTTCATACAGTAATTTAAGTTACACTGACAAAATACAATCTCACAAGTCATATAATGAGTTAATAAAATGTGCAATAAACAGTTTAACCAGCTGATTTCCTCATTAAAACATCAGTCATAGTACTAATAAAGCTCGTGAGTATGTTTTGCTCATACTTGATAAATTACTTTTACTTATGGTATTGTTACTCTTCTTTAATATCATTTTAGAGTTATTACTTGTATTTATACTATGGTAACTGCCTTCTGGAAGATTTGGCTCAGTGTCACAACATTCAACCAGCTCACCCAACCTCCGGTAACAAGACAGATGGATCGTATTAGTTAACTCACTAATGGACTGCTCATGTTGGGATTGAGTTGCTCCACAGGATGAAGTGTCTTGGGTCGGTTCTGCAAAGATGTTCCTCTCTTCGAGACCTCTCAAAGCACCAAACATAACCTAAAAAGCTGTCATTTTTAGTTTCAAATATTAGTACATGTCTGTTGTTAGGTGGTGGAGTTAAGGGGGCAATTTCAGGCAATTGATCTTTCAGTTTGACTGAAAAAAAAATACAAGAAAGAAGAAAAGAAAATTATTGGTTATTATAGACTCATCTTTTCTTTCTGCTCTCTTCTTGATAAGTTATACTTTATGTTCACTCTTGCACCCTGTTTTTACCCCTCTGTTTTTTTTATATCCATTGTTTTAAATATATTTTTTATGGTGTTCATTTACAATTCAGCTTGTTTCCCTGATCTTTTTCTTCTTTTTCTTCACACCTCCTCCTTTCTGCTTTACCTCTCTGCTTCATCCAGATCATCCAGGACCGCGTGGACTCCCTTATATCCAGAAACCGTTTGTTGTGGAATTCCCTACCTGGTGGTCTGTATGCACTCCCTCAGTACTCAACTGACGCTGCCCAGTTTCCTTTTTACTATGCTCTACTGGGTGAGTACATAAGCTTTCCGTAAGAGTCATTTCAGTGTAGCAAAAATGGTATAGGTTGTTGTTTTATGACTTAGCTGCAGCACAGGTGAATAACTGGAATGCAGTGTACTTGCCAATAAGAGAATGATCACTTAGATTTACCATGTTGGAGAAATAAGCAGGTAAGGATCACAGCAACTTTGATGAGGGCTGTGCACTGTTCCTGACCTGTGTGGTTTCCTCAAAACATAAGGGTTGTGGGGTGTTTCTGCTCAGTAGTGATGAGTACCTTTTGCCAGAGGAGGCACAAAACATGAGCCACAGTGTGGTGCATGTGCTGGGGAAAAGTCAGGTTTGCTGCAGATCCAACTCGCGATTTACAGGATTTAAAGAAATACCCTTGAATGTCTCAAGGTGCCTAAATGAGTGAAACTTTATTTCACTCAGTTTATTGCATGCCACTTCCTGTGACACAGAGCTAATAAACTCAAGTTTGATACATATATGATAATTACTGAATCGGGCTGTGATGCATGGCTGCAGTTTTTCTGTTATTTGTTTTCATTAAGTGTTCTCCTTGGCACAATCATATTAACGGCTGGAGGACACATCATGCAAACAACGATTACGTGGCCACAACTAAACTACATTTTCTTCTTTGTTGGAATCCAAAACATTCCCTTTTCTTTCAGGGAAATATCAGAATTGTCACTGACAGCCAGGAAGGCTCAACAGATGCTGTCAGTATCATAAAGTCTGTCCTGTCTTGATCAGTGGCAGAGAAGTGTCTGTGACAATTCCTGTGTTTTTCTGAAAGTTTTCACCTCTGAACACAATGGCCATCACAGTGAGTAAAAAAAATTGTAAAATGAGGATGTGTTTGCCAACTAATTTTAAATCCAGTCAACTTGGACTTCATTGGCTGCCTAAACTGTGCAAGAAACTGCTGTCTATAGAGCCTAAAACAGTGAATGTACAAGCAGCATGACTTATGACAGGTCAGATAAGTGGTTAACAACAGCAGCTGTAATAAAAATCTGCAATATTGTTTTTAAAATGTATACGTAAATTTTGCAAGACTCCTGTTGGGGCATAGTTCAGAAACTTGAAGCTGCAGGGAAAGAAATAAGGCTTCTATATGTGCATGTTTATGTGGGTGTGCAGACCAGAGAGATTCTCAGTAGTCTGAGGCTGTAACTCAGATCGATGTTTGTCTTTCTCTGAGGAATTGTGGACACAAGGGTTAGAAGGAAGAGAGAACAGAACCAAAGATGGAGCAGTTTTGTTTACACCTCTGCAGTAAATCACTATTTTTGCTGCCGCCATCACCAGCGCTGCTGCTGGGGGAATAACTTTTCGTCAGCGCCGTGTATAAGACGGTCTCACTCTGATACCTTCCCATAAGTTTTGATGGCAAAGCTGTTGCAACTTGGACCTGATAGTTTAAAAAAAGTTTGGCTTAATGTCAATACATAGCGGCCTCGGGACAAGTAAGACATCGCGATCAGATGCCTCAAGTTACAGTTTTATTTTAGTGTGTGAAAAGGAGTCCAGTCATCTGTGCTCTGCAGCTTCCTCAAATTATATAAACAAAAGAAAGTTGTGTTAATATTCTAGAAATTGATGTATTAGAGCAATACTGTTCCAATAGATAGCATCTATTTTACAGCTCGTTTGACATTTGTAGTTTTTTTTTTAATGGTGTTGAGTTCAGATCGACTTGCAGGACATGTCAGTATAAAAGTGTGACTAAAGACGGGAGAAAATTTGATGTATGCTGATTTTCTGTCTTTTAAATTATACATATAGTTGAAATCAGCAAATGCTTTGTCAAAGTCAGTTAGTCCCAGTGTACTAGATGAGAACTAGTTCAAAGCTGCTCTCAAGACACCACTAAGGTACTGGTTGTGTAAAGCTCCTGGCTAGAGCTGGGCGATATATCGAGTTTTTAAAAAAATATCTATATATTTTTATACGAGATATAAGATGTGACAATATCCTTTATATCGATATAGTCTATGTTACCTTATAACTATACTTGTGGAGCCGCAAGTTTGCCTCTCTTTCGTCCACTTTTGTCTTTACGCAACATTAATCGGCCTCGCCCCTCCTTCACTGAACACAACTCCCCCTCCTCCCCCATTGCTTCACCTGCAGGAAGCGACAAGATGGACACGGCAAATCTCCGTTAACGAGTTACTGCGCATTGCCCCGTGCGTGGGGCTGGACGCCCTCAACGTGTTAGCTAGTTAACCACGCTAACGCCATGCATCCCAGAGGCGCTGCACAGCCTAAAATCCTTTCATTTTCTCAAAAGTTGACAGGGCGCCTTATGTATGAATTCTGGTTGTGCTTGATGACCGCGAACCGATTTTATGTGGTACACAGCGCTCAGCAATCTGTCAAAAAATGTTTTAGTACGACTTTGGTAAGCTACGGTGCTTCACCGGTTGATGGATTGTCAGAGCATTACGGCTACCGAGGAGCCTCGCGGAGTGATACGTACTGTGCTTCAACGTAATATTACCGTATTGTGTGTAAGGACCATAAATGGCACCTGTTAAGAGACGTGGTTACGAAGAGGATTTCAAACTCAATGCTGTCAGTCATGCAGTAGAAGTTGGGAACAGAGCAGCTGTGAAATCTGTCTTTGTTACTATGCTCAGCGTCTTTTAGTTTACATTTTGACTGCACAATTGTGAGCTTTTTGTTAAACAACATTGTTTTCTTTTATTTATGGAGCATTATTATTTAATAAATGCTGATAATTTATTTTTGAGTAAATTTTATGTACATCTATGCTCTATGTTAATAAAAGTGCCTGTGTGACATCTGGGACACAGCTTTGACTAAGAACTCTCTTTTTGTTCTTACTTTATGGCTTAAAAAAAAAAATCGAGATATATATCTTATATCGCCGTCCAGGTAAAAAATATCGAGATATGAATTTTGGGTCATATCGCCCAGCCCTACTCCTGGCTCAAGGCTCTGATTTTTCCAAGTAATGCCACACCATAGTGTATTTAGGACTATTTGCTTTAAAAAAAATTTTTTTAAGAACTTTAAAACATCTTTGACAGACCAATACAGTTAACACTGCTCTGGCTGTGTTTCAAGAAGTTTAAGATATGTGTGCTCACTTTTGGACTATGTGGGTGGCAAGGTGTCAGTATCAGATTTTGACCTTGCTATCAGTGTTGCTCAGATTGGTCGCACAGCTGCCATGCATGCCATTTTAAGAGCATTTAGTCCAATGTTCAGTGCAATGCCTCTTTACTAGACTAAAAACTCTGTCAGATTCTTGTCACAGTCATAACAGTAGATTTCTCCTTCTGCGTTAAATCCATATTGTAGGTACAATGTAAACATAAACGCTTCTGATATCCTTGCTAGAACTGCAGTAATGCTGATGCTGCCCGTAAGAACTAAGACTGGCCATTAAGTACCATTGTTTCCTCCTATGCATCTTTCTGGCCACTTCTTCTTCTGTTTCCATTTCTTTAATCAACTTGGCATCATTGACAAAACCCCAGTATAGACGTGCACTTTATTGCAATAGTTAAAAAGAAAATTTCACCATTTTTTTTAAGTCTTGGACTTAAAAAGACAACAAAAGCACATCAAGGATGCTAGTCTGCCTCTATGAATGATGCATTTACTGTACCTACACTTCTCAATTTTAAATTTCATCTTTAATATTAAATCATGTATATATATTATATATTATACATGTATAATATAATATAATATTTGGTGTAAAATCTTGCATTGTGTGAGAGCTGAGTTGTATACATGTTAATTTATTGTATTCTATTTTATTCTATTTCTATGTAGTATGCATCTGCAGCTTTTGAACCCAGAACAAATCTATCCATTTAGACAATTAACTGCATCTTATCTTGTTTTATGAAATTGATTATTTGTTAAGAATTACAAAATCCCTCCAAAGTTAATTTCTCAACTTTTGAATATTTCAGATTTGAGTAAGGTCCTTTACGTCCCCTTATGATCTGATTTCAGAGAGCTTCCATTCTGTTCTATGACTGAATGTTTCAATGTTTACAGGGTTTTGATACTAAAAAACCCGGAAACATGCCGTTTAACAGAAATTAAAATGGCTTAGCTATTTTCAAGAAACAGAGGGTTTAAGCCTATTTATGTGACCCCCACAAGGGCAGAGCTTATGCTTCCATAAATACCACTAAGCCCACCTGAGATGGCTGGTCAGGGGGCCCAGTGTCAGAGAGATGGATAGAGCAACACTAAAGAGCACTCTGGCTGCACTTATCCATGAGGAAGTGTTTTCCCCTATTCCCAAATGCGCCCAACACTTGCCATGCCATGTGCCTGCAGTCCTGGCCTTCTTTGGCTGCTCTGAGTGTTCAGTGTTTCTGTGTGTGTTTCCACATCTACCTGCCCATTTATCTATTATAGATTTTTGCAATCCTCATTTTAGCTGCTCACATGGGATATCTAACTTTTTGTAATTACTTTCTGGCAGTGTGTAAAAATAGAATAGAAGCAGTTTTGCTGCAATTTAGAGTTTTTGGTCTTCTTGAAGTGAAGGAAACGACAGCAAATAAATTCCATGTGATCACTTGGTAAACATGCTAAACATGTAAAAGAGAACAAAAATCTATGTTAACACCCAGTACGTTTAATATGATGGAAAATTTTCACTCTGTCAAATAATGTTATTGGAACTTATTGAAATGACCTTAATTAAAAGCTGAATTATAGATGTCTCATGCATAAGTACTGATGGATGGATTCCATTATTTTGAATTGCAAAACAGAGGATGAGAATCTTTGTAAAATGTAACGACTTCAAAAAAGTTAAAATTAGAGCTGGAAAGGCTGGAATAGTAAGTGATACTAAAAAGAAACAGCAGGAGGAACATTGTGATTCTAATTAGGTTTATTGGCAACAGGTCAGTAACATGATGGGGTATAAAAAGAGCATCTTAGAGTAGACAAAAATACATGTTGATGACTCACTGACAGGTTTCGCAAATGCTTAATTGCTGTTCTTGCTGCCAAGAGCAATGTTTGTTATTATGTTTAGGGGCCAATTAGGTTTTCACCAGGGCGGGGTAGGTTTAAACAATCTTTTTCCTTTATAGATCATATTGTTTAAAAACTATCATACATAGGTCATCTTGCCTTAAATTTGCTTGATGATTCGAAATGTGAAAGTGTGAGAAATATACACACACAAAAAGAAATCAGGAAGCAAATGTATTTCTATAACACTGTTTATTGTGAAAATGTCAAAATGTGTGTTTATGACAAACCATTGCATTTTGTTATTCTGCCTTTTTGGAATTGAGTTTGTATTAGCTGTGTTTCCTGGAACCTCTGCTTTTCAGAGAACTGTTATATTCTTATTTTTCTTCATTATGAACCTCTTTGTTTCATATGTTCAATTATGAAACATTAATTTATAATAAATGTAAGTGAATTTCCAATATATTGTAATAATTATAAATGGCCAGTTTATTAGAATGCGTCCTCGCATACTAGAGTGTATTACAAAGTGCTGTTGTGAGTGAATAGATTATTAGGCTAATTAAACTAATTACACAGCTCACAGCTGCCAAATATTCACAGTTTACACAACTTATTTGCTAATCAAATTGAGAAGAAGAAAATCGCCATCAGTATTTACACAGTCTACAATTTGTTGCTGTTTGTATGATATTTCTGATCATTTCTTGCCCCATGAAAGCCTTGTGGAACGATTTAATACTAGTCAGATAATGTTTGCAGTGATTATGAATGCAGCAAAGTTTACAGTGCAAAAACAGTGTATGTTTTCTATATTCTGAGCCATCTTAATAACATTAATGTGAATTAAATCCTGTAATATTTGACAATAATAGATCAATCTATTTTGAAACAGAAGATGTATTAAGAAAATCTTTTTGTAGAAGCTCGTGCTTTATTATATCAATACTTTTTTCTGGCACAGGTTTGCCACAGGGAGAATAAGGTTCTCAAAATTACAAATCTTCCCATCCCACTCTTTTCTGAATACCATTTGTCAAAGAAGCCTCAATTCATTCTGCTTTGCTGCTTCTCGTTTTGTTCTGTTTGGTTCATTTGTTTGTTTTGGTAAAATGCAAGAGAGTATCTAACAAGTGTTGTAGAAACAGAATTACTCATTACAGAAACAAATCAGCATCATTTGCAATTGAGTAAAAGAGACTCAAAGCAAACTGTTCACTCTTGGATTAGACATGTTTACTCATGGTCAGCCATCTGAACCGTGGGGCATATATTCTGTCACAAAGATGGATGACGGGTGCAGCGTGGAGCACTCTGTGTCCAGTTAACCGTGATGGAGCTTTATGGAGAGCTACATCTGCACAAATCTGTGTTTTGTTTTTTTTTTGTGTTGTTGTTGTTGTTGTTGTTGTTTTAAGAGCCTAAATGCAGTTTACACATGACAGCTGTTTGTGAAGTATGGGTATGTTTGTGCAGGTAAGAGCCCATCGCAGCAGTTCACCACTGTGATCCATTTGGTAACTCCTCTGCAGTCCCAGATATCCCCTGTGGTGAAGCTCATCATCGCTGTAGCCAAGTCCAAGTTCTGTGCACAGGTGGGATATGTGTCTGAACTTTGCTGTGATTTCTGCTGCGGTTCAGGAAAAAGATGAAAGAATGGTTTCACACGTATGCAGTGAAATGCAAACAGTGTCAGGAGGTGTTAATTCTCAGTGATCTAAAATGTTTCACTTGACAGTTGATGTCTATGTTATCAATGTGTTTCTTCTATAACCTTGTCTCTCCATATCTCCTCCCTCCTTATTTCCCTTTTCTTTTGTCTCATTCCTACGTTTCCATTCCTTCGTTACGTTTTCCTCATATAACAGTAAAAAAATCAAAAAAAATTCAAAAAAGTCTAAAAAATGAGAAAGTAGAAAAGTGATTATTGTAGGTTTTATATTCTAGTTTCTGCTCCTTTTTCAAATAACATACCAAATATAATGTGTGTTTATATTAATTTCTTTTTTTGATAATTTGCTTTAAATCTTCACACAAGTCTTCTTGACCTCCGTAATTTATCTAGAAAGCTTTTAAAGAAGCTTTATTATTCTACACATGTTATAAAAAGTACTAGAAAAAGGCACTAGAGTAATACCTGAGGACTAAAGGTCTGTTGCATAAGCAGTCTCTTATATAATGTGTTTTTTTTTTTAAATGAAATATGTTGAATTAAGCTTTACTATAAATATTCATGTACATGTAAATATACTGAAGGTGCAATAGCTTTTGAAACAAACTTGGTGATGACTAACACAGTTCACGCACTCACAGGGCTAATGGAAAAAGAACATTTTTTGTATTCTGGCACTAAATATTATATATGTACTCACTCTGATAATAAGGTATTCTTTGGCAAGGGTTCTCTGTAAAGCAGAAGACCCTGGCTGGTCTTTGCTTCTTGAAAAATAGGACGGACATTTCATTATGAGGAATATCAGCTCATTCAAAACCTTCTGTGGAGAAGCCTATTCACAACAATGTTTGGGCTTGTATAATATTAATGGACACCATGTTCTTTTCCCCACACAGATTGTGGTTTTATGGAACTGCGACAAGCCTTTACCTCCTAGAAACAAGTGGCCCTCCACCAGTGTGCCTCTCACTGTCATTGAAGGACAGACCAAGGTAATAGCTGTTGACTTTTTTACATCCATTATGTATTAAAATAGATTTAAATTTAAAAACTTTAAAAACTGACCTGCTTAGGGGCACGCCAGATATGAAAGCGACTGAAACACTCGGCTGATGTTCTGGGAGCTGTTTTAGAGGAAGATGGAAAACAATAACACACAAAAAAACGTAAATAACAATAACATGAATGAGAATATCATACAGCTATAGGATTAGATGCTGTAAACTTACACTGTGTTATATATTTTGCACAATTTATACCAGTTTTATGAAGGTTAAGGAAAATGTATTCACCTGGTGGTTGCTGAGTGATGGCTGGAGATTGCTGGTGGTCACTAGGTGAAATTCACTGCAAAGAAGTTAATGGCACCGACCTCCTTGCAATGACTGTGGTCATAACCAGATTACATGGAAGATGCTGACACTGTCTGCAAGCACTCACTACCTCCTCACCCAGTGATAGTGAGAAGTAAAAAAAAAAAAACAATCCCAGACCGTTTCTCTTCAAAGTAACGCAGCCAAAGCAGTTACAAGATGGTTTTTAATGCAGCACCCACTTTTTTTTACCCAGCGACAGCCAGTATCATCCAACAGCCACAAGGCAGTCGAGGAACACATTTTCATATTGACTGGAGATTGCTGGAGGGTGTTCAATAGGTTCTAGGCCTGTGAGGCATAACTGTCAGTAATCTTTTATGATGAATAAACAGGGGTGCACATAAGTGGTCCGCAGGTGCGCATGCGCTGTCAAAATAAAAGACACGCACCAGATAAGAAGTTGCAACGCGCGTTTGCGTACATATAAAAGGCACTGTTTTTGTCCGCTAGAGTGGGATTTTTACGGCATATTCTGCACCAGATCTCTGTGTGTTCATCATTTGTTTGAAGCCAGCTCACCACCTGCAACCACTTTTCTGAGAATATGCGCTTCTTTTGCGGTTCGGACTCCTTCTGACATTTCTTTGGAGGTGGAGGAGCACCAAAGTAATTGCTTAAAGGAGCTTGCTTCTTCGACATCTTTAAGATGATGAAGATTCTTGGAAAAGATATCATTCACTTTTAAGTGAATGAAAAACTAATCATAAGATAATTCTACCCCTGTATGGTTAACGATGGAATGTTCTGCTGGAATCATTGGAGAACTTTAGAAGCATTACCTAAACGTTGCTGTAGACCAAATACACTCTCATTGCAACAATAGTCTCTGATTTTAAAAATGAGTCTTTAATATGTGTTTAGTGTTTTGCAGCGAGGAATTTTGCTCCATTTAGACTCTCGGTCCATGATTAATGATTCAGTAAATGCAGCAAAATACCTCTGGGGATGCCAGATGTTCTCAGTCTTATATATTGTTATTATATTAACAGCAAGAGAAATACAGGAGTGGGTCAGGATTATGGCTCAGTGAAGCTGAAATACACCAACCATCTACCCTACAGCGAGTATGAAATGACTACATATCACCATTATTAGTGACCATAAGACTGCTGCTGCTAACACTAAAGCAAGCAGTCTTTCTCACACTACATATACTACTACTAATAATAATGCATTAAAGACTTTTGAATTAGTTTAGTCAGATGGGTTTTAAAGACCCTGATTTATCATCACAGATGTTTTCAGTTACTGTTGCTGATTTACACTCTACAGGAATGTGTGGATGTCTCTTTGGTCCTGATTATGTCCTGCTAGTTTCTTCACATCTGGTAGTGTTAAAAACTCACACATTTCCTTGTTGAACAACAGGAAAGTGATAAGATATATCGCTTGGTATAAAATTATTGCATTTCTTCCTGTTCTGGAAGAAAAACAACCTCAGACACACTGTTCGTTTTTATCGATTTTGCTTTGGCACTCACAGCCCTTGTTTAAAATTAAGAAAAGGTTATAGTTTTGATTGGAAATAAATAAGCATGTGGTTGCATTGTGTTTTAAAGCACACCACATGTTTTCAGAGTGGGTTTGTTTTGTTTGTTTGTTTTATTTTGTTTGTGCTTCTTCAGTTCTGGAACAACTGAGGGATATTCACACATAATAAACCCCAGTGGACCACCCAAGAGCTGAAGAATGTGAAGACGTCTCATGGATCTTCAAAACCTAGAAAAACTCGAGTTGCTTTCTTTTCAAGCTTTCAAGCTTTTTTTCTGAACTGTAACCAGAGACTGGGACTCTTAATCTAAAAATATCAAACCCAAAATGATTTAATTGTAGATTGTAGTTTTTAGGCTGGGTCGAAATAGTGTTAAATCAAATCCTGCCACAATTATTGGGTCCATATTAATTACAAGTCCCTTGTTTAAAGCCTCATAGTCCTGTAAAACATGTAAAAAAAATGGGTATTGCCACTGTGACATTGTAATGTTGGTTTGTGAATCTGCATTTTGAAGCCTCAACATTGGCATATGGGTGAAAACACAGAAACAACTACCTGATAATTAGTACTAAATAACAGACTGACAAAATATTACATTTTCAAACACAAAAACTGAAACACAAACTTGTTAAACAGACTGTAGCAAACAGCAACCCATATCATTTTTCAGGCAATGCCATTAAAATGCTCCAAAAAGTGCCAACAGCGCAAACACAGTGTCTGCTCAGGTCCAGTTCACTGACTCCTTTCAGCAGACGGCTACAGCTGCCTGTGTTGGAAAATCTGTCAGAGCAACTATGCCCCTAACTCCAGCAACCAGATGGGTGAGTTATTGAAATAAATCCACTCCTCATAGAGGTGTTATGCAGTGGGAAACTATTTATAGAGGCCAAAAAGTTGGGGGTTTTTTTGTTGTTGTTTTTTAAATCAGGCTGTAAATATGCTTTTTAATTACATAAAATTGGACATCTGAACATGTAAATCTGTTGGGTTTGACTCACTTTTGGAGCTTCAGACATGCACTTCTGTGATCGCTTCATTCTCAGTGACGATTACAGCTGGGTTATTCCACAAACTTATTTGGTATTTAAGCCTGACACCATTGGCCGTTTCTGGGTCCAAACTCTGCTTCAGGTCCCAAAGTCAAATAAACTCTGTGGCATCACTGAGAGTTTCAAACTGTCTAAAGTCTTTCATCTTTAATAAAATGATCAGCATTGCTGCTTTACCAGGTGTAACAATTAACTTTAACATCCAGGCATCCACGAAAACAGAATTTATTAAATTTAATGGAGTTAGAAGTTAGCAGGGAGTTAGCTCACTAGTTTATCATAATATACCATGTTCTGACTGAGAGATTTCTGAAAAATTTAAATGTACAGCTCTGCTATCACTTCCAACATAAACGAAGACGGAAAACTAAACAGCAGTGACTTTTGTAGGGTTACTGAAGTTTGGCTAGCTGGTATATAATGATTTGCTACGTGATCACTAGCGACACAGCTATGTTAGCATAACATAAACACAGTGAAGCTGCAGGATGAACGCTAACCTTTTTCCACTTGATAAAAGTTAACATGAGGGTTCCCGACGGTTAGGGACAAATGCAATTACATGACAGGATCCTGTAAACAGACAAAACTTCAGTCAGGAGAACAACTGAGATAATCCATCCACAATATGAGGTTAGTCATTAATATACTGCTGCATGGGCTGGGCTGTAGTTACACGTAAGGTTTTAAAAACTGAGCTTTAAAATGAACAGTGGTAATAAAAACCGAAAGAGGCCGACAGTGATCACTGACTGTTTTTAGGGGCTTGTTCAGATGTAACAGAACAAGATACAAAGCATTAAAACGTTAAAAACACAACACCTTTAATAAACACAGAGCAGTTTGGACCTGGAAGCAGGGTTCATATGTCATCAGTTAAAGACGGGGTGGGTGATGTCAGTCTAAGTCTGTCTTTTATATGTAGCCTGCTTTAATCACTTGATTAGAAGGATAAAATATGTAAAGAAAGAGTGAAAAAGGTCTCCCTTCTCTCATTAACACCACTGTAATGTCCTTGGAATGAAAAAAAAGAGAAACATGAATGAACCTCATTATATCTGTTTTTTTTCACACCAAGTTCCAGGTTTAATTAAAAGCAGATATTGAGTATATTTTCATTTAATCCTACCTGAAGTCCTATAATCATGCAGCAGAGGGAGGGAGTGATGTATAATGCTCTTTTCCTTTGTCAACTAAATTCTAATCCAGTGCTATTTCAAGTTTAAATAGACTCTTAATGATAAATTTGAAGCAGTGTGAGCTTTGATTGTTAGATATTAGAGCAAAGCCAAGAGTGTGACTTTGTTTCGTTTGTTCTCATTTGCAATATTACTGGGTTGTACTCTGCCTCTATCTACATATACATGCTGTAAAAACTCATAGTTGTTACGGTATATTTAATAAACAGAAGAAAAATGTCACATTTTCTAATTACTTTAGCCAACTGAGCTTCTTAAAATGCACTCAGTCAGATACTCATTTACTAAATGAAGCCTCCATACATGCCAGCATGTTTCTCTCTCTATGTCAATCTCTTAGTCGTCTAATTGCTTCTGTTTGTTTTCATGTAAACGTCTCCCTCTTGAAATGAAAGAACAATGTCTCCGCTGGTGACAGTAAAACGCATCTCAGCGACCATGTGTATGTGTGGTCCTATAATTAGACATGTGGTATATTGTCATGCAGCCCAGACAGATGCTCTTCACAGTATTTCCTTCCAAGTGCACGCTGTGTTTGCTCCCTCTGTAGCAACAATACACACCCACACACACATAGAGAGAGAAAGTTTGTCATTTGCCTCGGCAGAGCACAGCAGCAGAGTAATTTGCTGTTGGTTATGAGTGTATCTACTCTGTAATGCTGAGTGGATGCACTCCATCTACAAGCTTTTACTTCCCCCCTCTCCTTCCGTCTCTCTCTCTCTATCCTCAACCTCTGTTCTGTGCTTGCCTTTAGAGTTATTTTTTCTCAAGTACGTTCAGAGTCACCTTTCAGTAAGTATTCAAACGACTCTTTAATTTACTTGATTATTTCTGAGAAGTTCTCATACTTAAATGAGCTCATTTTAA